ATAAATCTTGTACTAATTAGATACAGGGGAGTCATTCTGCTAATTGTTATGATTACTGGTATACATCAACCATGGAATCTTATAATACTTCTACTTTTAGTTCATCGATAAAGGAGGCACAGGCACTCGTTCATTAATAAGTGCGGTAGTTACTGTTCATGATCTCACCTCAGATTTATGTTGCTCCACGGACACCCAGAAACATTCATCATCTGTCAATAAGGCGGATCCATAAGACAAAATCATGAGTTCCTGACTAGCTCGCTCCAAATCCGTAAGACAGAACATGTTTACTTCAAGTCACTAACCATCAGCAGAACTCAAAATTCTGGATAATACTGATCGAAAAAGGTTATATTGATGGCACGCGCCTACACTTCTGCTACATTACTCCACATTTAGTACCCAGCCCACACCATGCATTACAAACACACCCAAGGTTTGACTTCGGCTGCTCAAATGTGTTAAGCAAATACTTGAACCGCCGCCTGTATCGCTTCACTCTTGAGCGGCATCGCTCCCGTCCTCCAGGGCCTCTTTCTCCTTTTGCTGCTCCACTGCTCAGGGACAGGGTGGTTCATCATAAGTAAACGCACAACAGCAACTCAGCTGAAAAGGAACTGAACCAATCATCATCTACCAGTTACTCACATGCAATCTCCGCCAGAGCCTTCTGAGTGCGCTTCTCCAGCTTGTCGATCCTCTTCTGCACATCCCGTTTCAGGTCCCAGTTTGGGTTCTTTGGAGCGATGTTCCCGAAGGGGTTCTGCAGATAAGTAAATACGGTGAGTTTTGCCTCGTGAAAGATGCAAGAATGTCACAGAACCGTGAACGATTTGGTGGATCTGGAAAATGTTACCTCCAGCTGCTTTGGCTCGGCAGCATCAGCAGCGATCGGATCTTCAAACTTGGGAAGAGACAGCGGGGCCACCTTGCCACCTCGGAGCCGCTCATCATGAGGAAGGTAGTTTCTGAACTTCAGTGGTACCTCCCTGCATCAGAAAGATTACATACTTGTGAACAATGATACACCCACCATTAATAAAGAGTCAAGTATGCTACATGGTATCAATTAATCCCATAAACATTTCACACCACGGACGAAAGGTTTGCGTATACATGAAATAAAACCAGGACATCTGGCACTAACAATTTATGATTTTATAATCGACAACCCATTGACTGCTTAACAGATGTCAGGAAATGCTATCTCAACAATCTGAGATTATACATGGCAAGGGATTGCTGTGTAAATCAAATTCAGCTTTTATATTTATATAAAGAATAACAAGGCATTGACGTGTGACTAAAATTCAGCTTTTACAAGAATGGCAAGCATATAACTGTGCAACAACAGGAACAAATTCAGATTTTCAGTCAGGTGCAGATGGAGATTTCTGATTTCCCTAAAAATAACATAAAGGGACTCGATCAATTATTATACACAGAATATATATGTAAAATACAGAAGGCACTCAAGAAAGCTAGTACGTAAAAAGTTGTCTGTTCAATTACTTACCCATTGTCTTCAACCTCATCAGATTCCTTAGTGGGGCTAACATTCTCCTTGGAAGCATCCTCGGGTGCATCCACAGGACCTGGCAATTCTGGTTGGTCCACCTGTTCTTCTGTCATCCCATGTTCACCATTCCTAATGCAGCCAAAAAAGAACATGAAATTCACCATAGGTTCACTGATACATACAATACAATTTACTTTTCAACACATACATTGTTCTCATGGTTCAGTCCTCTAGCTAGTACTAGTACGTCCTGAGGAGCAGCACAATAACATTCCAGTTCAATTCAAACCCAGATAGTGTTAGGAGTACAACATCAGGTTAAGTTGCAAGAGCCCACAATGAGATATATATTATATATTGTCATATAAACATTTGGCGATTAGTTTGCACTCACTATCCTGCATTTATATGTGGTTTAACATCTAATGCGTGAATATGTCTTCAACGAACAAAGACTTTACTCTGGCAACACAGAACTGAGACGTAAGCAGAAAATTTAGAATTTGGATAACTTGAATCATTTTCAGATAAATGTTCATTGACTGGACACAGATGGCACCGACCCATCAAATCCTAATGCTAATTACCTTAAACATTGTAGATTTTGGTATGAACTACTCCTAGCACACTAATAATAATGATGGAAGTTGCCTCAATTTGATAGGTAAAGACCGACGAATCAGACCAAACACAACCAAAATCCATAAGGGGTCGTCGGAGCAAAAAATGTTAAACAGCAAACAGGACAGGGAGTTGTCTGCAAAGCTTATGAGAGGGGATCCTCCAGATGCATCATGTAAGGTCATAAACTCTGAACCATCTTTGTTCAGCTTTCAGGTTCTTGGCTAGTGAGTAATCCCACAGACCCAGACCCTGTAGCACAGGGGGAGTGAGGACCAACGTCTCCGTCTCGGATCCTAGAGACAGTCCTACGGGTTCAAATCCCATGGCCTGCGCACTGACTCAATATGCGCTAAACAAAAACTCCAAGCGGTCTGCTAGTTCTAGGACCAGCACAGGACTCTGTAGCACCCAATCCTGCCAAATTCTCCAAATTGAGCGCTCCTACCATGCACCCGCGAGCATTCTCAGCTTCTCCCCACTCAGCGTACACCAACCAACATACACAGAAACAAGCACCAACCTAGCTTCAGTTTCACTCCCCCTCAAGCAAAATACACTAGCAGGCCTAGAGGCGGGTGGAGGAGAAGGGAGAAGTAAGGGGAGGGGGAGGGAACGTACTGCTGTTCCGCGTCGGGAGCGGCGGCGGGGGCGGGGGCGGCGCCGTCGGGCGTGGAGAGGAGCTCCTTGGCTGCGCGGAGGGCCTTGAGGCGCTCGCGGCGGGCGGCGGCGTCCTCCTCGGCGCCCATCCCGACCTGGCTCCGGCTCCGGTCGACTCGCCGGGGAAGCGGGCTAGGGTTTCGGGGCCGCGGGGGGGTTCGATTCGCTAGCCGCTACGGGAGGAAGAAGAAGGTGGACGTGCGCGTTGGGCTTCAGTGCCTTGGATATTCTTGCTGTGCGGGCTGGGCTGTCTACCTTACCCGTCCCGGGCTCCCGGCCCAGCGCCAGTGGAAACAAATGGAAATTTGAATTCTCATTACAATATATATACGTAAATGTTTCTCAAAAAGAATACAATATATATATATATATATCGAATTTGTTTCAAACTACTCCCTCCGTTTCTTTTTACTCTGCATATATATTTTTTGTAGTCAAGATAATATAATGCCACTAATATTAGTAAAACACAATTTGCTTCATTCTTGATGTTTACCAAGTAAAAATAAAAAAATAGAAAGAAATATCACGACGTGTACAATTGACTAGTAGTACTACTCCATTTGTACGGCCGCCATGTGATTTTTTCATTCAAATTCGTGGCTTTACCTCCCACCCACTCTCGTCTCTTCAGGCAGCGCGCCCGTCGTGTCTGCCAACTGCCACGGAAAATTCCCTACATTCTATTATACAGCAGGCGCGATTCATTGTACGTAGGGATGGCAACGGGTACCCATTACCCGCGTAACCTGCGGGTAAAAAACCTATTAGGGTAAGGGTATGGGATAAAAATTTACCCATGGGTACTTAAATGAGAAAAATATCATACCCATGGGTAGAAAGGGTATGGGTATAAGATCGTATAACCCATTCCCGCGTACCCATGTACCCATCTAAAATGTTGACAAGTGGGTTTTCGTTAATATCTTAATGTATTAATTTTCCCCTCCTAATCACGCTAGGTAAAAACTCTAATGTGTAGTCAAATTATTTGTATAATTTATCATGATTTTGTGAACTCAAAGTGTGTGCCTATGTGTTGTTATTTATGATTATGTGTTGTTTTTTAACATTTTTATGTGCCATTTTATAAGCAAGTATTTTTGTTTATGAGAATGTGTTGTTGTTACAATATGTTGTTGTACATTGTTGTTTAAACTTTGTTGCTATTAATAATTTATGATTATATATTGCTTTTTACAAAAAATTCTACTCAATTGATGTGTTGGAAATGCGGGTATTTTTACCTGCGGGTACCCATATACCCTGTCGGGTGACGGGTATGGGAAGGAATTGTACCCTTGACAGGTATGGGTATAGGTGATCGGTAAGTTCAGGGTGGATGGGTAAGGATATGGGGTAGCTCCACGCATATCCATACCCTGCGAGTGCCATCCCTAATTGTACGTAGCCTGTCCTCTCATTGCCTAATGGGCTATTTTGCGCGTGGGTGCGTGCGTGTCTGCTGTGGATAGTGCACAAATGTATTCCTGATTCACGAGTTGAATGTGCTTTCATTTCGGGACTAGAGAAGCCGTGTGTGTGTGTGGGGGTGTGTGCGCGCGCGTACCCTATATAAATTGCACATAAGGTTTATCAGAAATACTCCACCTCACGCCTTCGTTTTTATCGTACTTCCATGTTTCTCCAGTCTAAAGACTTGCTAATCGTTGCCAAATAAAACGAGTTCGTTGGGCCGGGGGAGGGGCAACCGCCCCCTCCCCCCCAGTCCCTCCACAAATGGGCTTGCTCCAAAGCTTTGAAGCTTTTCGCCACCACAACACCTCGTCGATGGTGCGCGTGTTCGTCTGCGTGGTGGCGGCGTCAATGTATGTTCTTCTCGTCTGCGTGGAGGGGGTGATGGCAGCTCTCGCAGAGCTCCAGCGCGTGGAGCGGGCGACGATACTTTTGCTTGATTGATTATGATAAATCAGCCTCCTCATCCTTAGTCATGCTGCTGCTCTCTTCTTATACATTTCTTCGGAATAACTCCGGTCTAAAGGCCCTACCTTGGCCCGGAAAACTCGGAAGAATTTCTCTGGATTTTTGCCATGATTTGTTAAATCGAAAACCCCCATATACCATACACCCATATCCAATCCAATCAAAGCCACCCAAACACCGAAATCGTGCGGCGGAGGGAAGCCCACCACCACCATCGTCATCATCATCGCCATCGGCGACGGATAAATAAACGATGCTCCTCCGCATCGGCCTCGCCGTCGGCTCCACGCTCCCCCGCCTCCCCCTCCCTCTCCCCCCGATCCCGCCGCTCCGGCCCCACTCCTGCCGCCTCCTCTCCCGCCGCCGCGCCCTCCTCCTCCTCCCCCTCTCCTCCCTGCGCCCCTCCGCGTCGGCTGTCTCCTCCTCCGCCGCGATGGCCGCGCCGCCGGTGTGCAGGAAGGTGCCGCGGAAGCTCGCGGAGCACGGGGACGTGCGCGTCGACGACTACTACTGGCTCCGCGACGACGCCCGCGCCGACCCGGACGTCCTCGCCCACCTCCGCGCCGAGAACGACTACACCGCCGCCCTCATGTCCGGTCAGTGAGATCACCAGCCCGCCCGCTCGCTCGCCCGCCCTCCCCCCTAGGTTAGAAGACGCCGCGCCTGCCGCTCGGTCGCTCGGCTTCGTTCCGCGAGCGTGGCTGCTGCTGCGCTGTATCGGTCGGTCGTTGCTCTTCGTGCTACCAGGGGATCTGAGTGGAGCAGATCGCTCTAGTGTGGCTAGCTTCACCTAGATTGCCTAGCAATGTGCCAGGACACTATAATTGCGGTGATTGCTAGACCAAACAGCGTTGTCAGTGTCAGATCGGCGGAATTTACATGATTGTCAGTCCATTCAGCTTGATTGCTAGTGTGATTCCTCCGCTTATGCCTCGCCGCTGGTTGTAACGTTATCAGGTTACAAGCACTGTTTTCGAGTCAAACACCTCGGAGACTAGTCGATCGGCAAGGCATGACTCGTCAAAAGTCGCTATCCCAGAACGACTCGTCAACTTGAACACCTTGGTTAGAAGTTATAGTATGTGCCTGCTAGTGTGGATCATGGTCAACGTACTTAAAGAATTAGAGCTGTATTTCCGACCAGACCGCATCTGCTGAAGTGTTTTTTCGGTCTTAGCGTGGTGTGCTGCATTTTGGTTTAACTCTCCTATTTTATTTCCTCCAGATACCAAACAACTTGAGGACGAAATATTCGCTGAGATCCGAGGGAGAATCAAGGAGGATGATATAGATGCGCCTCTGCGCAAGGGGCAGTATTACTACTACAAAAGAACATTGACCGGCAAGGAGTATGCGCAACGCTGTAGGCGTCTTGTGCCGACCGATGGCCCTGTTACAGTCCACGATGAGATGCCCACAGGCCCTGATGCGCCTGCTGAGCATATTATTCTGGACGAGAATTTAAAGGCTGAGGGCCATGACTACTACAGCATTGGGGCTTTCAAGGTATGATTGTTGACCCACGTCCTCTTCTCCATGTGTGTATGTTTGATTGTTAATTTTAATGTCCCACTTGGATGCTTCACATTTCAGGTCAGTCCCAGCGGCAAGCTAGTTGCCTACGCAGAGGACACCAAGGGTGATGAAATCTACACTGTTTTTGTCGTTGACGCGGAGACTGGACAGTATGTTGGGCAACCACTTAAAGCAATTACTAGTGACATTGAGTGGACTGGTGATGATAACCTTGTTTACATAACAATGGACAACATTCTTCGACCAGATAAAGTATGTTAACTCTTACTCTTACATTAAACTTATCCTCGTCTATGCTAGCAATGTGCATACACATACTAGACAGAAGAATCAGTAATGATGATGTGATGTAGTGTGATATCTCTATTGATCATTGGTTGCAATGTTGTGCATGCTGCTGTTTCCTACATACCAATTCTTTTATGTTATTTTCCTGGAAAGGGGAAACGTTACTTGAATTCCTCATGTGCACTTCAAGAAAAAGATATTCAGTTATTCGTTGGCCCATATATGTTTTATAATTGGATATTGCAGTACCAAGTTTGGGTATTATCATCAATGTGTGTGTCTGTGTGCATTTGGGTTTACAAGTGTTTGTAATAGTTTATTGAGTCCTTAGTTTTTGTGGGCATTTGCAGGTATGGTTACACAAGTTAGGAACTGATCAATCGGATGATACATGCCTGTATCATGAAAAGGATGACACATTTTCACTTGGTCTTCATGCTTCTGAAAGCAAAAAGTATTTATTTGTTGGATCTGGAAGCAAAAATACAAGTTTTATATTTTACCTAGACATACCCAGTCAGAGCAAGGAGCTCGCAGTTTTGACACCTCGTGTAGATGGCATTGATACAACAGCAAGTCACCGTGGAAACCATTTCTATATTACAAGGAGAAGCGAAGAATTCTACAACTCCGAATTGGTTGCTTGCCCGTTGAATAATGTAGCTGAGACTACTGTCTTGCTACCGCATAGAGAAAGGTAATAAACTTAATTTATGTCTGGAAGGTCAGTCTTGTGGTTGATGGATTGTATGCTGGTACACAAGTACACAATTGTTTATTGAAACACCATCCTCAATATAATATTATTTGTATTATTGTATTTATTTGTGATATACCTACTTGGAGGATATAGAAACGGTAATAGAAAAAGCATGATATTTCTGAGCTTGGACATTATTCCAAAATAAGACATTGTTTCCATAACTCATCAATCTTAGTTCTAGAAACCTTCACGTAAACATTCTGTAGCTCCAGGCTCGAGCATGAAACTTAGCTGTAGAGTTAGTTCTGGCTTACAGATCTGGAGAAGATTGTACTTTATTTTTCAGATCTTGCTTGTACATAATTGACACCATGATTGGATAGTAATGAACCTGTTCTCACTGGTATCTTCAAACTTGTGGGCACAAGCCTTACTTGTTCTAGTAATCTTGGGCATATGGATCATTGGTATGATGGCAATACTAAGTTCTAGATTTATCAGTTAAAGTTGTTTGTTGCAAATTTAATTGATGGTGACTTGCTCTTCTTATCAATGGATGTACTATGTGTTAGGGCTCTGCTGTAATGCCCATTAACAACATGAAGTAGCATTATTGTTTAAATACTTGAAACTCCTTGCAGTGTGAAAATTCAGGATGTCCAACTCTTTGAGAATCACATTGCTGTATATGAGCGTGAGAATGGTCTACCGAAAGCAACTGTCTATCGCCTACCAGGCACTGGAGAGGCAGTTGGGCAACTTCAGGGAGGACGGGCAATTCATTTTATTGATCCAGCATATGCAGTGGAACCTGAGCCATCGCAGTTCCATTCAAATGTTGTTCGCTTCTACTATAGCTCAATGAGGACGCCACCCTCTATCTTTGACTATGACATGGATACAGGGGTGTCGGTATTGAAGAAAATTGACACTGTAAGTTATCACCTGCACCATTTAGCTTTGATGTATCTATGTTTAACACTACCAGTGCTACGGGAACAAACCGTGCACCTGGTTA